TCACCAGAAAGTTTAAAATCCAAGCCAATAATAAAAATGATCAATACATATGCAATACAGATGGTTACCGGGAGACACAATTCTATCACTCATAGGAAAAAATTTTAATTAGTTCAACTTATCCTGAGACTTGCGCTAAGCTGAATATGTTGTCTAGCAGGGGTGACGACGAAAGAAAGCTTCGCAACTAAAACCAACCAACCAGCTCAGAGATCACACCAGTAATTTGCAAATCATCCTCTATCTGAGCTACAAATCTTCTCTATTTCACATATGCGTGTAGCTTAAGCGATCTTAATCTACGTACAATAGTTGTATATGCCCTCATCACTTAAATTCTACTACGCCTAATTGACTAATCAAGTACCTTTAACGTATGTCAAAAAATAACAACAACAACAACAGAACATGAGGAAAATGATTAAATCAAACATTGATGGTCAAGTGTATGTGAATATCGTTCAACTATTTTTTTTTATCTTGTAGTATTTACTGAAATTATTACATTATAATTGGAACTGATTGTATAAAGGATAAAATCTGAAACATTTTTAAATAAGATGTTGACAAAAAAAATGACAAACAAGGTAAAGGAAATAAATAATACTCTATGCATATGTGCTTATGTAGAATTCGTTCAAAGAGAAGACTGTGGATGGGGAGTCGAGCGGGGCCAGTGGATGGGTTGGTTGGTGGGATAAATAAAAAAAAACAATCATTTGAAAGGAAAACACCACCGTAACAAAACAAACAGAATAAACATCTTTAATTTGAAAATATATATATATATATTCAGTTCTGTTTAAAGATAAATCCACTTATCTACAACAAGCGAGTACTTGAACTACTACCTACTTACTTACTTACTAACTAACTAAAGAGTCTTAAAAAATCTTAGAAATTTATTTCTATCTCTTCCACGAATATCCTTGTGTTTGCGTGAATGCATGTGTGAGTGTACGCGTGTATGTGTGTGTGTGTGTGTGTTTGTACCTTCGTGCATTCGCCAGTAAACAAAGGAAAGGACGAGGAGTAGGAGACAATTCAGCTACTCAAGAAAGAGAGGAAAATGAAATTAAGGCGAAATGGGGAAATAGGGAGGGAGAGCCTTAAGATAAGGAAGCAGGCAAGAGAAAGCTCTAAATGTTGAATCCTTTCCAAAGTACTGTAGAAAATTAAGTTAACCGAATAAGATAAATTTGTATTTATGCAAAATAAGATAAAATAAAGAAAAAAATAAAAGTGGAATTAAGAAATGGTTGAAAACAAAAAAAAAATCAAGATGGAGAAAGTAGAACTACACAGAGGGGGTGGAGAGACAGATCACTCCGAATTTGCTGAAAAATATGCTGAGAAATGAAAACAACACTTAACCTTATGGAACGAATACTTTACTAGCATGAGCTATGCTAGAATGTTAACTGACAGGCAGTTGGTTGTATATTTCGCCTGCAAGATTTACTATAAACAGTTTTAAGTGAAGTAAATTGGATGTTTACGACCTTAAAGACAAGGAGAAGGAGAAGACGAAGACAAGAGACGCAAATTAGTTTATCTCAATTAGGGTGAAATGACAGCAATCACATAATGGGGCATATTTTATATGGCCTACAATAACAACAGTAAATTAGATAACAAAATAGCTGTTTGATCGAAGCCAGTAGAATATGCGCTGTGTGTGTGTGTAGTACTGGTAAATTTTTCATTTCCCTTTGAATTATTATTTTTTTTTGTATGGACGTTTCAACAATGTCTAAAGACTGATAAAAAATAATTTTGTTTGACAGCTTCGTTTCAGCTACAGACAGTCCCCACACATAAGGAAAATGAAGTGAGCCAGGATATGGAATGACAAGGTAGACATTCATTGTTCTCTGATCAGTCTTGGAAGCTACTGCACCAAACTGAGAAGAAGGAAGTTCGGATTTCTAAAAGCAGTGTCATTCAATGCCTTTTTGGTGTATTGTCAAAAGCGTTTTATCCGACTGATTCAGGCTTTCATTAATAGCTGCCGTCTTCGCTTCATATTGATGGTAAGATGGCCTGAAAGGATCAGCAGCGAGCAGATCGTGGAACAAACCAACTAAGAATCTGTAGCGTGACAAACATATTGAAGAAAATGGAGCTGAAGTGTACACGTGATGAGGAGGCCGTTGAATGACATCAAGCACCAAGACCCTAAATAGGATCAAAAAGGGAGACGAGTTTGGCGAAATTTCGAGAGTTGCATAGAAGAGACCTTGTATTGAAAGAGATGAGATCCCACTGTATTTATCAGCTAACGTGGGTCTTTGGTTCACCTCTGTAGGTTGGAGCTACAAAACTAATATATATATCCATATAATATGTGTGTTTGTTCGACAGTCTGATATATTTTGCTATGTATATATGGATCGATATTCCATTATAATTAGCCAATCATGTTAAGACTGTCTATTGATTTGTTCATTGTGAATATTCGCTCCTACACTTGTGCTCACACACTTGTTCGGACATTCTTATATATTTTGCTCTCACACACTTGTGTGACAGATTGATTCTCCTGGTGTTTTGGAAAATAGAAGTATCATCGCAAACCTAGTGGTCTTCTGATTTCCGTCTTTCTTGCGTCAGGACTATTAAATTCTCGACCAGTAAATAACAATAATTTGGCGACGAGTACATAATAAAAACACATTTCTCATTGGTAGATACTGAAAAAGATGTCGTAAGGTACACCACAGAGACTTGTCAGAAATCCGGCCTTAACACTGGCTTTAAACCTATGATCTAAACCTTTTTCGGGTCATAATATTCCCCGTATTTTTTATTGTTATCTCTTATCTGTAAATTGTATCTGTAAATCAACATTCTGACCAATTACTCATTCCTCTTTGACCTTTATTATTCCGTTTATAATCACATAAACATGTGTGACAATTTGCAAGTTGAACGTAGAACTTCAGCGACACATTTTTATTTCGCCCAGTTTTCAGCAGCTGCCTTTAGCTGGCTGCACGACTACTTAAAAGATTTCATCTGCTTCTCGCAAGATCTCGCTCATGTCACTCTTGGACCTACGCCATTCTCAATCTGGGTTTCATTCGAGCTGTGGTCTCTTTTTTCTTCGACGCATTTACTGAGCATTAGCTTCTTAATTAGTTCGTTGCCTCCTAGTGTTCCTCTTCTCTTATCTTTTCTTGGCATCTGATCTTCAGGATAAATAGAAAGGGTTAGCTGTTGATGGAAGTCTGAATCAGCCTGTTTGAAATGTTTTTCTCGTAACACACTTCAAGAATGAACTGGCTAACTTGACGTCAGTAATGAAAATCTGAATTCTGTTCTTTATGTTGAGTGCAGTCTTGCTTTTCTGAACCTAGTCAGTTCTCAGATCGAAAAGAGTCTAGTCTCGTCCCCATAGATGTTCAAAAACCAAGTAACTTAATAGTAATGTTTAGTGTAATTCACATGTAATGGTAATCGATTATGTCTTCAAATTGTTTTTCAAAATCCACACTATGTAGAGAACGGTCGCAAGTTTGATTCTGCAACTTGCCTTTTAGTTTGAAGGTTATGGTTTCGATTGCTGGTGTGTTTAAGGGTGTGCGCTAGCGAAGAGTCACAGGCCAGTATGAAACACCTGAGTTGAACGTCCACATGAAAGGGAAAAACACATGACTCTACACCTATATTTGAAGCAAAGTCAAACGGATTGAAGTGTCGCATTAAAGTAGCATCACTTGACTGTAGTCTATTTGTGTCATGTTAGATCATGGACTGATATCAGTTGGAGAACCATTGAAATCCAGGGATTACTGGACGGCTGTTGCGTCCTAGTTTGGGGCTCATCACAGTATGCACCCATTGGGTTTAGAACCCAAGATCTTCTGGTTACAAGGCAAGCTTCTATAACATTCAGCCACTCGGACTCGATTCAATGGTCCACGCATTTTAATTTCTACCTGATCGTGATTTTAGCGTGACCACCATGGTCACCTAACTAAGATCAATCCATAGTTTAACCTGAAACAAATAGAATCCCTACAGACTAATTCTCGAAACAAGTAACAAGTTGGCAGAAGAAGCATCAAAGATGGGACTTCAAGTGAACATAGATAAAACAGAGATGATGAAGATTCCTAGCCAACATCAACAGCAACAACAACAGACAACAATCAGCATAAGTGGGAAGAACCTGAAAGAAACAACCTCCTTCACCTACCTGGGAAGCATCGTCTCAACTACAGGCGGAACTGACGAGGACATAAAAGCCAGAATCGGAAAAGCAAGACAAGCTTTCATTACTCTCAAATCTGTGTGGAGGTCAACAGCACTCAGCATCAAAAATAACATCCGGATTTTCAACTCCAATGTGAAGTCAGTGCTACTATATACGGATCAGAGACTTGGCGAGTCATAAAGAGCATCTCAAACAAACTTCAGACCTTCATCAACAGTTGTTTTCGCTCAATACTCAAGATCAGATGGCCGGCCAGAGAACATCAGCAACCGGGATCTCTGGGAGTGAACCAACACAGCAGGAACCGATTGTGAAACAAATAGGCAGGAAGAAATGGAGATGGATTCACCATACTCTGAGGAAACCATCAAGTGACATTACTAGACAAGCCCTCGAGTGGAACCCGAAAGGGGGGCGGCGAGTTGGTCGTCAGTGCAAGGGTGACTTGGAGGAGGTCATGCGAGGAGGAGATGAAGGCATGTGGACAGACCTGGAGCAGGGTGAAAAAGTTGTCAGAAATTCGAAGGCAATGGAGGTGCGCAGCTGAAGCCCTATATTCCTCTAGGAACTAAAGGATACAATAATATATATATATAATAATAATAATTCTAGCAGTTCATTTATTGTCGTACCACACACAAATAATGCTTTACTGGATTGATGTATTGTTACTTTTGTTCACATAAGATGTATATTCATTATGGACTGTTTCAAACAGATTGTTTGAAGTTCCAAATCATATAATCTATGGTTGTGTTTACTTTCCTCTGGTCATTTTTAGGACCTCCAGGGGAACCTGGCAGACCTGGACCTCCAGGACCACAAGGACCAATGGGTAAGTGAAGACAACTTTATTTATACATAATATATATATGAGCACAACTCATTTTGGATACCTAATAGTCTAATACCGTAGTTCGACTATGTTTTCAAACGGTATAGTAAAAAATTATAGCGTGATTATTAAATTCAATTGTCTGAGGATTTAAATAAATTACAATAGCCAGAGAGTAGCATACAAGTAATATAAGGTCCTTCAACAGCCTTATAACAGTGCCACATATCAGTTGATACGCAGAAAAGACACTTAGAGAAGCCTTTAAAGTGAAGGTAGAAGTAAGAGGTGGCTGCTTACTAGCATTGATAGTGTTCCCTATTGTGGTGGACTGGAAGCACACCGTAGGTGGGGAAAAACAGGGGAGAAATATACTGAACCAATAAGAAGACTACAGATTTATGTCTAAGGTCACGAAAAACTTACAGGCAAATGTTTGCAGAAGCAGAGAAGACAGAATTTCACGGGAACATACAGTAGAAAGCGGTGATGAAGAAAACCAGCTAATCAAACAACCAAGGCAAACTCCATTAACTATCAACTATGAAAGAGGTCGTTTCAACTGTAAGCATGTGACACAAATAATGATTTCGAAACCAGGCAGGATTGGGAAGCCCAGATGCACCTGCATCACTCAAAAATCATTTTGAAAAACTTCTCCAGTCACCATAAAGAACAAGATTTGGATCTTCCATACAACCGTGAGGTAGGCGAGTGCTTCTTTATGGGTTAGGAACTTAGTTCGTCATGTTGTGAACTTTTAGCAACAGCCTCACTTACTCCAAATTGAAGAGCAGGTGGTCAGAAAGAATTAGCAACAAAAAACTCTGACAACAAACTAACCATGATCCGGTTGCTCAACAAATCTGTAGAAGAAAGTTGAGATAGATCGGGTACTTACTGGGGAGACCGTTGAGTAAAATTTCGTGCTAGACCATCAAGTGAGACTCGAATGGAGAATGCGTGTTTTTCACAGGTCCAAGATTGACATGTTAGAGGAAGTTCTAGATGACAGTAGCTTATGGGCAATCGTGGGGTCAGCTAATTAGGACCGCAGAGAACAAGGTGATGTGGAAATGTGCTGTTAAATGACTAAGTCCCTCTCGAGACCCGTAGGAATAAGAATAACGCATGTCCCACTTTCGAACATTTTACGCTTGTATTCAAATGTTATGGTCTCGTTTCTATATGACAAGCTATTGAAAGCCTGTGCCATTCATCTAAAGGTTATTTTTTTATGTTTCAGCGGATAAGTAACCAGCAGTGTGACTTGATATGCGATTTGTATTCGAGTTTGAATCTCACTTAAAATAATGTCTTCCTGAGATGCAGATACCAGTTGTGTATACGTAATAACTAGTCAGGATGTGCCTCTTACACTGAACTCTATGTCACCATGGTCGTCTATGTTAGATTACGTGACGTTCACGAAAATAAACCTTTCAGAATTCTTCTAGGCATTAGTGATTTTAATTTGGTTAGGAGCGGATTTGAAGGAACAAAGACAAACTTTCAAGTGAAGGCCATCCAGTTTCGATTTGTTTTGCTTAAATTACATACATTTTATTACAATGTTTAAACTATTCATCACCGACACTAGCGACTAATAAGAGGATAGCGTTTGCCTTCTAAGAACCAGTCAATTCGGACATTAAAGTCCTACAGAGGAGTTCACCCGTGCGTGATAACCTATATAGTCACGTGGGTTCGAATCTCCCAGTGAACGTCACTTCCTTCCAGTCTGCAGACACGTTTTGAAGATGACTGTTGATAAGAAGGAAACGTGGGTCCACGTCTTATTTCCGATTACTTCAAACAATCTAACATATATAAAAATATTCACTGATATATACGCAGTCTTTCTATAAAGCCTTCGATGGATAATGAAAGGACATTTGAAATTAAATGCATTACTGGTGTCATTCACTTAAAACTTCTAGTAATACATACGGTTAGATTATTTGCCTCTGACTTATTAATACATGACTAGCTGGATCCCATTTAAATCAATCTATGGCACTTAGTAACAAGACTGAAGGGATAAAACACTAAGTGGCCAAATCACACGTTTAAGAGAGGGCTCATTTGTGGTTCACTAGTTTTGACTCAACTCAGGCGGTTGAGTGAATTCAAACAACGCGAATTCTGGACTCCTAACCACTTGGACGAACTTGTATCACACTAGATGAAATTTTCAGCCTGCCAGTTAATCCGCAAATTCAATACATACCAAGTAGATTGTTCCAATATCAAATCACCTAAAATAAAGATTGCATGTATGAAATCAGATGTGGTCCTCATACGAAGAATTCTTTTTTCATTTCTTTAACTTACCGAATGAAACATTGGGATTTAAGTTTTAGCTTCGATGGATTTTCCTTTTACCGAATACGTTATCCAGCCCAACACTCATCCTTCCCTATTTTCCGGGCTCACCACCTGTTAGTTTTGATTTAGGAGTGAACCAGTCACTGATGAAAGCCGGACCAAATGAGTGGTTTGGAGGGCATTCTATCGCTGAACCATCCACACACAAATCAATATTCACTCGACCATGTCGGGCACTCTACAACAACATCACCTCCTTTGATGAAATCTCAAAATTAAATTTTCGTTTCTCCTTCAATTTAAATATTTCTTATAACAACATTTATATGAGCGATTTTAATAATGATAATAATTGATTCATTGAAAAGAATTTTCAACATGAAATACAAAGTCACATGCACCACTTTTTCGTATTAAACAGTAAGAATAAAGGTCACTATAGAACTATATCACGTTAACAGTAGTTATATATATATATATATATATATATATATACATGGATAAACAAATGTTAGTAGGAATAATGAAAGTAGCCTAACTGTTTACTGATTGTCACGAAATAAGATGATAATTTTGTATCCGATACCTTTTTCCATCATATCAAACGCATGCCGAATATGGAATTGTTGCGTATTTATATTTTTAGTCGCCTGAGAATAATGTCTTTTCAAAACCGCTTAACGTTCCACGGTAGCAGGTGCAACGGAGACGTTAAGAACATAAAAATTAAAATCGACAGGATGCCTTCGACTTAGATTTTGTTCTTGTTGGCACTTTTCAGAAAGTTGGATCTCCAAAAATTTCTGAAGATTGCTTCTAACGATCTACTAACAACAATTCAAAATGCACTGTGATTGCTAACCACCTAGCATGATGGCCACATTGTAAACTTGACTGATAGTATTTAGTCTGTGTCGAACAAAGGACTATATGTATGACAATAGTTATTAATTAGTTTCAAGTCAAAGTATCAAGTATAGTCCTTCAGGGGATCAATCGCGAACCCAAATGGTTGATTAGCAGCATCTCTGACTACAGAGCTGCGTGGCGCAGGTTCGAGGGGCATGAGTTCCTTTAGGATAACAGATACACGCCTTGCTGAATGATGAGTGCCAACAAGCACAAGAACTAGACCACACAAGGCCTCCTGCCGATTACACCCAACCATCTCATCATAGATTCGCTAGTTAAGTAGATCAGAACTATACAAACATCAGGATAAAATGTCACACTAAGCGCCTTACATCCTAAACTACTGATGTTTGTAATTACTTGTAGTGCTACAGGGTGAACTATTCTCCGAATCCCTTACATCATTCACATCAACTAATCGAGATTTTGTTGGGATTTTGTGTTTTGCTTGTCTCACTGAGCCCATTCTACTACTTTGACCTATATATTTGACTTGCCAGCAATTACAAAGGGGTATTAAATAAACTTTCTTGTTTTGTGTAATTGGTTTCACAGAATCCTTCAACTGACGAAGGTTATTTCTAATTGAGTTTGTGGGTTTCATTGCCACTGCTTTTCTTGCACCATCACGAATTCTACGTAAGCTTTCTGGGGTTCCTTAGTTGCATGCAGGCATTAATTATAATTTAAATTTCTTATTTATGGTGTTGTCATCTTTCCGTGCATATCTGCTATGCATGTCATTGTTATTATTATCACTACTACCACCATTATTAATATTAGTTTATCATTTTCTTATTTTTCTACACACTTCATGATTAAAATATCAGGGTAATTAATCAGCTTTAAAGCTTCTCTTATACGCCTCACTTTATTTCTTAGATTTTCCTTAGTACTATGCTATTTTTACAGACATTTAGTGGCATGACCAGAAATCCAAATATCGATTTGATTGTGTGGACTTACTGTAAATGCCAGTGTTTAACTCTCTATATATATTTTTCTTTTTTGTGCCACAATCTAACGTTGATAGACCCCTTTCTAAATTTCCAATATATTAGTGGTTCCAACTGTCTCTACTTTAGTATCACTTACTTAAAATGGACGCATAATGGTAGGAGAAAGTTTCACATCAAAGGAGAATAAGCGGCGAAAATATTTACCGTTATTTTGCCCAATCATTGGCAAAAATTTCAAAAATAACAGCTATTGCACCATTCGCAGTAGCATTAGAGCTGTGTGTCTTGAGTTCATCACATGCTCGACAAATGGTCACTATCATCTTGATAACTATCCTAAATGATCTTTACAGATGTGGGTAGAAATATATGCTGGAGTATCGAAAGGCGGTAACTTGTCTTCAACACACGTGTTGATCACTTACAGACCATAGAAATTGATCCGTAGCTCAGCTGAGAAGAATGCTTCCTCCTCCAGTGATCTAGATAACCGATTCTTCAGAATCTCAACTGGCATACTCCCCTTATATTCAAAATTCATAAACATCAATTTCTTCAGTACTGTTCGCCTTCTCTCTAGATTACTTCAGATAGACAAACGTTTCCAGAGTACCTAAATGTGCTTATAACCTTAAATATTTTAACATGAGTTTCTCAGTTAGCCTAAGAATATTTGACTGTTGATAAAATGAAGCCTTATTCATTAGGAGTAAACTTACTTCTTTTTACATTGACCATGATTATTAAAAAAAGACAAGAATTAAAAAAAGAAAGTAGAGATATTTACACAAAAGACACTAT